CCCTATGATGTGTTTCTGGGAGAATATTTGTGTCTGTAATAGAAGATGCAGGTCTAACGTCTTGGGGCATACCAGTGACTGGATGTGGCTTTTTTTCTGTGGTTGGCAGAACACAAAGCATTGACTAAAACATTTTCCTTCTTCATTAGCATGTCTGTACCAAAAGCACTGTTATCTGCCTCTCCCTTCTTTTGTATAAAAATCCTAAGTAGTGGGTTGTCTGTTGAAACACCCTTGTGATAATTATCAGGTAGTAAGTCTCCCTGGAAATCTGCATGGCCTAATAAATTGTCAACATTAGGTATTTTATGAACATGTTGTAGTAATCCATAAAATTCAAAATGTCCAAGTTTTGCTCTTTCTAGCAAAAAAACAATGAAATTCATTGTCAGACCTACTCTTCACCTCCAGGATGCCCTGGCAGCCACAGTCCTGCTGAGTGCCGGGCTGCCTCTGTGGAGTGCTAGGTGGGCGCATGCGCACACTCAGCCACAAGCCAAGAATCCACAGCTCACCAAATGCACCTGTAGAGTCAGCTTGGATCTCAGTGCTCGGCTCCACTGAGCTCCACAGGGCTTCACAGGACAGCAAGGACTGGTCTGGCAGTGCAGCTGGTAGAGGCACAATTCCCTCCCTCCTCTCTGCAGGGCTCCAGTGGAGGAGGTTGAGGGGGCAGTTAGCCCATCCACCTCCTTGCTTTCATCCACCTCCCCCATGACTGGGCTCCTGACCTGGGCCTGGGCTCCTGATCCAGGCCAACAGCGCCGACCTGAGAGACTGTAAGTGAAAATATTATTAAAGACATTTGGGGGGTGGAAAAAGACATTCTGGAGAAAAGGATCACCTGTACTCCTGCCACCCTAACCTAATTTACCCACTTAATAAAAGTTGCCTTACAATAAAAAAGGGGGGGTGCCTGGCTGGCTCGGTTGGTGGAGCATGTGACTCTTGATCTCGGGGTCATGAGTTCAAGCCCCATGTTTGGGGTAGAGTTTTCTTTTAAAAAAATTACCTTACAAGTCTTATCCAGGGGCACCTGGGTGGATCAGTTGGTTAAGCATCTGCCTTCAGGTCAGGTCGTGATCTCAGGGTCCTGGAATCAAGCCCCGCATCAGGCTCCCTGCTTGGTGGGGAGCCTGCTTCTCCCTCTCTCTCTGTCCCTGCTCGTGTGCACATGTGTGCACTCTTTCTCTCTGTCAAATAAATAAAATAAAAATCTTTTAAAAAAACCACAAGTCTTGGGGGCGCCTGGGTGGCTCAGAGGGTTAAGCATCTGCCTTCGGTTCAGGTCATGATCCTGGGATCCTGGGATCCTGGAATCGAGTCCTTCGTCGGGCTCCCTGCTCCTTGGGGAGCCTGCTTCTCCCTCTGCCTCTCTCTCTGTGTCTCTCATGAATAAATAAATCTTTTAAAAAACAAAAACAAGTCTTATCCATAAGTATATGTTTTCATGCAGTGGCAGTCTAATGTATATCTTACTTTATGTCCTTTTCCCCATTAAAATAACCTTTTTTCTATATATTTGACAACTTCAGTAATAAAAGCCTAGGAGAAGTAGAAACTTTTGTATTGTGTGCAGATACTAGTAGGTGGGTTTTATGTGGCTATCTTTACTCAGTTGACTATGTTAAATATATATGTGTGCTGTGTATGTATGTGTATGTACAAGTAAGTGTATTTTTCTGGTATGTGTATATTTTAAACACAACATCTCACGATCTTGAAATTTTCCATGCATGTGGCACTGCTTGCTGATTCTTTCTGTGCCACTGTTGGCTTCCATAGTACCATTTTTCCCAACCACTGTTCCGGTCAAGATTACTGACTGCCTAGCCCCTTTAATTACAGAGCTTTCTTTGACATCTTTCTCTGTGTGCCTTCTTACCTTTCTGCTTTCCCAATACAGAGCGTGCGTGTGCTTTCACAAAGAAGCCTTAAATGATCTCAGCATACTTTATTGCACTTAGACCTTTTCACATCCAAAGCTTTTTATCACCCTTCTCCAATATCCATACCCCGTTTTCTTCTCTATTCACAATTCCTGTGCTCCGTGTATACTTATTTTCTAAATATCATCTCTCTTAACCTTCATTTCACTTAAATCCTTTATAAATAAAATCCTTTCTCTCATCCCTTTCTTTTGGTGCCTTCCGCCAATCCCAAGGTTTCTATCTGTTGTCAGTCATTTTTCTCCCTTTCACCCTTAACCTCTCTGGTAATTCTGCTTTCGCACCCTTCAACAAAAGCTCACACTCTGATAATGTATATGTAGTGTTCAGTTGGGTGCTTCTGAATAAATACCTGCTTTTCAAAACAGTGAAATCTAAACTATTAGCATGGAAATAACCCCTGGGAAGATGGGGTCTCCACCTGAAAGCTTCAAATAGAGATTCTCCTGCTATTATTGATATTATGTAATATCTGAAATGGGGTGACTACTTGAACCATACAAATATCTGCTATTGCAAAATGAGAATAGATCCTTGATTTTATACTTCTGCCTATTTTGATTGACCTGAGAAATAAAACTTAGCACTTCAGAGAAGGTAATTTTCATATGCTTTGGATTGTATTGAGCATTAATTCTTCAGGGTCATTATAGACTTAGAAATGTTTTGTCCTGCCTCCTACTCTATGCCCAAGTGCCTTCCCATGATGGGAGAAATCTACAAGGCACCCCCAATCCATTCTGCACTGCTGTTGATTGTTGTAACTGTTCCTCTTTGTATTGGGTTAAAATCTACTGGCTATAATTATATTCATTGACTTGACTTCTGTCCTCAGGCTACACTGAATTTGGATCCCTTTCCTGTATAACAGCCTTTTAGATAGCTAATGGTAATTACTCTTTCCTCTATAGCCCTCTCCCCACATTTTTTTTCCCTTTGAGATAAACACTCTCAGCTCTTCTACCTGTTCCTCATTGGACACCATTTTCATCATCCCGATTGCTCTCTATAGATATGACACTTCGTTAATGTTCCTTCTGAAGTGTTTTCAGTACTGAAAATAATATTCAGTGTGTAGTTGAATTGGATCGGGACCTTGTACATCTGGACATTAATGCAGCCTGGAGTTGCTTTAAGTTTCTTTTTTAGTAGCCATGTAATGTTGGCTCATAATGAACTTTTTTAAAAATAAGCTGTATGCCCAACATGGGGCTTGAACACACGACCCCAAGATCAAGAGTCTCATGCTCTACCAACTGAGCCAGCCCCTCATAATGGAATTTTTAATTAACTAAAATCCCAAGATTTTAATCTAGAGGTTTGCCTTCACATGACTTCTTTCCAAACCAAGTTTCCATTTTCCTTTAGTTGTGCAACATATTTCTAAAGTCAGAACGTAATGTTTAACATCCCTATTAAATTTCATCTCAGCCTGTCAGCCAGCCTTGGTTTCTTTGAATCTTGATTTTTGTCATCCAGCTTATGCTGATTGAACAAGGGGTCTTGACGGTAGTGTCAAAATGTTTTCAGACATCTGGGAAACAATAATGAAGAGTCATGGAGTCTTATCTTCCAAAAATTGTTGTATGCAGATATATCTCAGCTCTTGTGGTATATATGAATTACTACCATTGTAAATGACAAGGCCAGGAAAGACTAAAGTTTATTGCCAGCCTGCAAGACAGAAGCCTTGCGTTGAACATTACTCCGAGATGATGTTCCAAGACCTATTGTGCCAACATAATGCCAGGGTTGCTAATTCTTCCCAAGAAATCAATTCACATACAAAGTAGAGACAGAATTATTGTGACCGTCTTTTTTTTCCCCCCAACCATGTACTGAGCAGAGTATTAGGAACAGTGTGAGATTCTGGAGAATCAGGGTTGCCTGAGGCAACCCTGATTTATGCCTGTTGTCCCAGTGTAATTATTAGCAGCATCATTTTTCACTTTCCAAGGTGTCCAAGTTTGGAGGATAATTTATCTGGCTACCCTTCTCATAACCCAGCTAGTTCCTTTTAGTATTTTATCTGGGTTAAATGTTACACAGCTGTAATTTGGCAGCTTTGATGAGGCTGTGGTAGTACTTCTCTTCCATTTGAACAGATTGTTTTTTGACCATGGGAAGTTGATAGCAAAAGTAACTGCAATTAAGGTCTACACATACTATTTTTCCTGAGCTACCCTCTAGAGGGCAGTAATATATACATCCTAAATGATCCGATTCCAACAAAAAATGGACTACAAGAGTCCCATTTTCATATGCATGAAAATCAGAAGCATTTGATGCTCTGAAAGGACATACTGGAACTGGGGCGCCTGAGTGCCTCAGTTGTTAAGCATCTGCCTTCGGCTCAGGTCATGATCCCAGGGTCCTGGGATCGAGCCCTACATCGGGCTCTTTGCTCTGCGGGAAGCCTGCTTCTCCCTCTCACACTCCCCCTGCTTGTATTCCCTCTCTCGCTGTCTCTCTCTGTCAAATAAATAAATAAAATCTTTTTTTAAAAAAGGGACATATTGGAACCAATATTGTAAGTAAAACTCAAATACCTTTTACTAAGCAGAAAAGTAAAGAAATACTAAAAATTTATTCATTAACATTCTGAACATACTTTTTTTTAAATTGTAAAAACTGAACTTTGATGCCCTGAATATATAATGATCCATTATAACAATTATGCAGAGTTTAAGAATCTGCATATTTTATGCTTTTGTTTTTCCTAATTAATAATTTTACATGGTTAATAATTTTAATATATTCTGTATCACATAGTTTCCACATTTATGTAAAATAAGCAATTAAAAATGAATAGTTCTATTTCACCTGCTTAAATATTACTTTCCTCTAAAAAATGAAAATGCTAGGTTTTACTTTATAGTTTGAATCATGTGGTAATATAGAGCTCTAGTATTTGGAATTAGAGTGTTTCTTAGAGATTGTGTAATTACTTTTATGTCATCAGTAAGTAATTTATTAGCTCCTAATATCAAAATTATATTGCCTGTGTTTCACATTTTGGATTTCCTAATGTAATGTTCTCTTTTTAGAAAAGGTGGACAAGTCCTATTTTCAAGAGAAGATGACTTTTAACAGTTTTGAAGGATCTAAAACTTGTGTACCTGCAGACATCGATAAGGATGAAGAATTTATAGAAGAGTTTAATAGATTAAAAACTTTTGCTAATTTTCCAAGTAGTAGTCCTGTTTCCGCATCAACACTAGCACGAGCTGGTTTTCTGTATACTGGTGAAGGAGACACCGTGCGGTGCTTTAGTTGTCATGCAGCAATAGATAGATGGCAATATGGAGACTCAGCAGTTGGAAGACACAGGAAAGTATCCCCAAATTGCAGATTTATCAATGGCTTTTATTTTGAAAATACTGCTGCACAACCTACAAATCCAGGTATCCAAAATGGTCAATATAAAGCGGAAAGCTACCTGGGAAACAGAAATCATTTTGTTTTAGACAGGCCATCCGAGACTCATGCAGACTATCTTTTGAGAACTGGACAGGTCGTAGATATTTCAGACACCATATACCCGAGGAACCCTGCCATGTATAGTGAAGAAGCTAGATTAAAGTCATTTCAGAACTGGCCAGACTATGCCCACTTGACCCCAAGAGAGTTAGCCAGTGCTGGACTCTACTACACAGGTATTGATGATCAAGTGCAGTGCTTTTGTTGTGGTGGAAAACTGAAAAATTGGGAACCTTGTGATCGTGCATGGTCAGAACACAGGCGACACTTTCCTAACTGCTTCTTTGTTCTGGGCCGGAATGTTAACATTCGAAGTGAATCTGATGTTGTGAGTTCTGATAGGAATTTCCCAAATTCAACAAATGTTCCAAGAAATCCAGCCATGGCAGATTATGAAGCACGGATCATTACTTTTGGGACGTGGATATACTCAGTTAACAAGGAGCAGCTTGCAAGAGCTGGATTTTATGCTTTAGGTAAACTTTCTTATAAAACCAGGCTAATAACTAAGTTTCCAACTATCGCAGTGCTCCTAAAAAGTAGATTCCTTTAGCCCCTTGAACTGGTAAATATTTAGGTGTAGGCTGGCATGATTATTTATATCAGTATTAATCTGCGAACCCTTATGTTGAATCTGCAATGTAGCCGCTACATTTATGGGAGAAAGACAACCATATTGTGAGTTATGTTTACCTTTATGTGATTGTTTTTTGGAGAAGGATGACATGAAAAAGATGATAGATCTCCTTGATAGAAGAATGGGTCTAACAGTAACTCTAATTAATTGAGTACCTACTGTATGTGCTCAGTACAAGTATTACATGCATTCTTTCTACACCTCATAAAAAAGAGTTAACATTAAAGAGTTTAGTTTGGCTGATATTAAAATTGATCTCTGCCTTTTGTATATAGACTGTATATTTGAAAGCTGTCCTGTATGATGCCTTCTTGCTTCAAATAAGCACTTCTCAAATGGACTGCTGTAAACTTGTCAGTTTGCTGACAAGTTGCTCTAAACCGTTAGTGTGATGGCTTCCAGGTGTATTCAGGAAAGTTATACCATTATATATCTGACCCATTTATTTTAGGATTGAGTAGTGCCAAAATGCAAAATATTAGTTATTTCAATATTTTATTTACATCATCTCCTACAGCAATCTTGAAGGCTTGTTTAGTGTCCTGTAGCTATAACCTTAGAGAAACTTACTTTGTAATTTTGTTATGCTAAGTACTGTTAAAGTTTCCCAGTTTGAAAAAGTGTAGTATTGGTGGCCCCAAATGACACATTAGAAAGAAGGTAACAATTGTAATTTTTCACATAAAGATTGGACAGTTTTATTTTCGCCTTCTGTAAAATACCTCAGATTGAATCAGTGAGTTTACTGTGTATTTCCTCTTCAAACAATCATGTCTATTACTTAGATGTGAATTTGAATAGCTTTTAGAAATGATTAGTTTCGTGGTGATAAAGGGGGTATTTTTGCATAAGCTTCTAATTGCACAAATACATGTATTTTTACTTGTGTCTTTTTTTAGGGGAAGGTGATAAAGTAAAATGCTTTCACTGTGGAGGAGGGCTAACTGATTGGAAGCCCAGTGAAGACCCTTGGGAACAACACGCTAAGTGGTATCCAGGGTAAGGTATTTAAATGTTTATTCAGAAACAGGCAAGTTAGACACTGCAGTGGGAAAATCTTGAATAACTTTTCACCTCAACTATTTTTGCCTTTACCATGGCTTGCAATTCACACCAGGTTTATAAAAATGGGGTCACCTACTTTATAGAAAAAAAAAGCCCTAAGCCTTCTGTGGTGACCAAAGCATTCATTGCTTATGTGTTGTATCTATGACATTCAAATGATTCTGTTTCTAAACACCAAATTGGGAATATATAGTTTTGTTGTTGGAAGTAGGCTCTTTTCACAATAGGCACAAGAGAGCCCTTGTTGCCAAGGATTTTCCCTAAGAACCCATCACACCCCCTATCAAATAGTACTGTATCTCACTGCTTCTAAGACATACAGTTCACATCTTCAAATTTTTGAAATGAGGACACATCTGGTGGTGGGTCATAATTTAATTGGCAGTGGTGGTACATAAAATAATCACACTTCTTATAATCAATGGCATCTTAGAATGATAATGACATACTCTAAATGTCTCTTTGCCATCTTGCTTCTTTAAAAATAAGGTATACATATATATAAGTGGTGTAGAATTTTTGGCCTGCAAAATAGTACAACTTAAAATTTCAGAGCGATTGTTTGAAAATAAACTTTAACCTTAAAAAACCTTAAAAGGAAACGTTGAAAGCCCAAAGAATTCCTTCAAAATGTACAGTCGGTTAATCATCTAAATAAAATTTAACATGAACTATTTGAAAAAAATTTTAAATCTTAAGGCGATAATTTAATAACTTGCTTAAAAGTTGAAAGTTCTCAAGTTGGTGTTTTTTGCCTCACTAAGATTAGCAAAGTGGCATAACAAAGGGAACTTTTTTTTTAACTTTAAAATGACAGTTGATAGGGAATTGGATAACAGTTCATTTTGCAGCTTCTTAGAAATATCAAAAAGCAAGGTAATGGAATTAAGATCATAGAGATTATATCTTTCCTTATACTTTACTAACTTATCAGCTACCAAAGTTTAACCTTCTTTTAATTGTTTAGGTGTAAATACCTGTTAGAAGAGAAGGGACAAGAATATATAAGCAATATTCATTTAACCCATTCACCTGAGGACTCTATGGTAAGTCACGTATTGTAGAATATATATTTTTAAATATTTAATTTCTTTTGCAATGATTTCTTGGTGTAAAATTCACAGTATAGTATCTTAAATTAATAATATATGGTGAGCTTTAAAGGGGACATCTTGAAGAATGCTTGTTATTCTTAACCTGAAGCAGATTTATGAAAAGGGAATCACCATGAGCTGATTGATTTACCTATCACTGTAAACAGAAATGGGCTTGAAGAACTAAAATACTTAATCCCTCAGCTTTCTGAAATTAGACTTTTGTGTAATGTGTTTTATACTCATTGTATAAACAGTTGTAAACTTTTCATAGACAATATTTTAAATTTCAAAATCATGTCTAAATTGACGGTGCGTCCTGGAGTGGCCAAGGTACCACGTGGGAGTGGGAGGCCAGAGTTGCCATTATGGCCCTACCGTGAACTCTCTTGCCTCCATAAAGTTGTTTTATCTCCCTGAGCCTCAGTGTCTTGTCTATAAAGTGAATGGATTGGGTTAGATGATCTTTTAACTTCCTTCTAGTTTTATCACGTTATTCCTCTTGCAAAACTTTATGTGTTGAATTGGAATAAAGCCAATTTATAAATTCATAATTAGTGTAATTTTTCAAATTGAGGTAATTGCCTTCTACCAAAAAGAATTCTAACTTATAATCCATATTTCTATTTTAGGTAAGAACTGCTGAAAAAACACCATCATTAACTAAAAGAATTGGTAAATATGTTTATTAAAATAATTATACTCTTTATTTCATTGCCAGTTTATTACAGTTGTTATTTATAGGGTGGAGACTTAAGCTTGTTCTTTCAAGGTAATCAAGGTATATTTATTTGAGATGAGATTGCTATAAATCTAAGAATTAATGAAGTGCTTATAAATTTAAGCCAGATATTTATATATTAACATTCGTGTGACTAATGTAACACTGTACATTAATTGTACTGGAAAATTTAAAAATTACGCTAAATCATATTAAATGATAAGTTATATAGTTATATATAATATAAAATTATATTATACTAAAAAATAAATAATAAAATTTTAAGAAAGAACATTCCTATGGAGATTGGGCAGTTAGCTTTTCTAAATTCAGGAGCAGCAGCTGTAGGCTATCCATTGTCATTTCTGTTAAAATCACAAGAGGAGGAGTTAAGTTTATTTTTGTCCCCGGTGCTTCTTGAGTTAGCCAGGATCATGAATCCAACACTCTGCCATCACTCTAATGTGCCATCACCATGATCAGCCCTACCTGCTTCCTTATCCCATGCCATCTTGGTGCCTCCCCCAGTTTCTTCACAGAGGGGTATGGTTTGGTGTACCTCCTGTTCCCTTATAGAGAGGTAGAGGTTTTTATCCCAAAGATTATTTACTCATCGTAAACCTCTTTAAAAACCAGAAAGATAACTATGTTAAGCAGAGATGATACCATTATCCCCACATTTCACATGAAGAAACAGAGTCAAGGAGGTTAAGTGACCTGCCCACAGATACATTACAAATCATTAGTGGAACTAGGACTATAAACAGGGTCTTCCGAAACCTACATCACACTGTAGATCTCGTTCTCAACTTAGGCATCATGCTTCAAAAATAGTAAAAAGTTTAATTTAGAATATGTCTACTGATTCCCCACTCCTTATAGTGTCATCTAGTTAGTATTTTAAGGATTACAAGGTAAAACTATATGCATAAATATGCTTAAGAAGGAGAGCCACTTTGGGGTGCCTGGGTGGCTCAGTTGGTTAAGCAACTGCCTTCGGCTCAGGTCTTGATCCTGGAGTCCCGGGATCGAGTCCCGCATCGGGCTCCCTGCTCGGCGGGGAGTCTGCTTCTCCCTCTGACCCTCTTCCCTCTTGTGCTCTCTATTCTCTCTCTCTCTCAAATAAATAAATAAAATCTTTAAAAAAAAAAAAGGAGAGCCACTTTGATAATGTTTGATACAGGTTTGTAATGGACATAAATAATAAAGTTAAGAAATCGTTTATTCCAGCCTATTTTTTTGAAATTATCCACAAATGAAGATTCTATAACATTTCTTGATAGTAATTATCCTTACAATGCATCCTGTACTTTTTATGACTAATGAGACTCTAGGATTAATGTTTTAAAATTGAGATGTAATTCGTATAGCAAAAATTTCACCCTTATAAACTGTACACTTTAGTGGTTTTTGGTATATTCACAAGGTTGTGGAACCATCACTGCTATTTAATTGCAGAACATTATCATAATCCCTAAAAGATTTTAAATCCTATACCCATTAGCAATCACTCCCCATTGCTGCCCCTTCACCCTCAGGTCCAGCCAGACAACTACCAATCTACTTCTGTCTCTCTGGGTTTGCCTATTCTGGACATTTCATATGAATGGAATCATAATATGTGGCTTTGAAGTTCATCCATGTTGTGGTACTCCTATAGGAGTACTTCATTCTTTTTTTATGGTGGAAAAATTTTCCTTTGTATGGATAATACCACATTCTCTTTATCCATTCATCAGTTAGTTGATAGACATTTGGGTTTCTACTTTTTGGCTCTTATGAAGGATACTGATGCTGCTATGAACATTTGTGTGCAAATTTTTGTGTGGACATAAGTTTTTAATTCTCTTGAGTATGTATTTTGGCATGGAATTGCTGGGTCATATAGTAACTCTACATTTAACCTTTTGATAAACGGGCCAGTTTTCCAACATGGCTGCACCATTTTACATTCCCACTAGCAGTGTATAAGGTTTCCAGTTTGTTTCTCCACATCCTTGTTAACACTAGTTATTGTATGTCTTTTTTTTCTTAAGATTTTATTTATTTATTTGACAGAAGGAGAGAGACAGCAAGAGAGGGAACACAAGCAGGGGGAGTGGGAGAGGGAGAAGCAGGCCTCCCGCAGAGCAGGGAGCCCAATGCAGGGCTCGATCCCAGGACCCTAGGGTCATGACCTGAGCCAAAGGCAGATGCTTAACGACTGAGCCACCCAGGCACCCCGTATGTCGTTTTATTACAGCCATCTTAGTGGATGTAAAGTGGTATCTTATTGTGGTTTTGATTTACATTTCCCGATGGCTAATGATGTCAGGCATCCTTTCATGTGCTTATTGGCCATTGGTATGTCTTCTTTGGAGAAATGTCCATTGCCTTTGCCCATTGTTTAGTTAGGTTATTTATCTTTTTGTTATAACTCATATATACTCTAGTTTTTTACATATACGTCAGATACATGATTTGTAAATATTTTCACTTGTTCTTTTCACTTTTTTTTTTTTAAGATTTTATTTATTTATTTGACAGAGAGACACAGCGCGAGAGAGAACATAAGCAGGGGGTGTGGGAGAGGGAGAAGCAGGCTCCCCGCTGAGCAGGGAGCCTGATGCAGGCCTCGATCCCAGAACCCTGGGATCATGACCCTGAGCCAAAAGCAGATGCTTAATGACTGAGCCACCCAGGCACCCCTCTTTTCACTTTCTTGCTGGTGTACCTTTGAAGTATATAAATTTTTAATTTTGATGAAATCCAGTTTATCTTATTTTTTGTTGCTTATGCTTTTAGTGTTATATCTAAGAAATCATTGCCTAATCCAAGGTCATTTATGTTTTCTTCTAAGAGTTTTATGGTTTTATCTCTTACATTCAGGTCTTTGATCCATTTTGAGTTAATTTTTATAAATGTGTAAGGTGGGAGCCATTTTAATTATTTTTCATGTGGATATCCTGTTGTCCCTGCTTTTGGTTTTTAGCAAGATAAGCTTGAGATACCTGCGGTATATCCAAGTAGGTGGGTCTTAAAACCTGGAACTCACATAAATAAGGGTAAAATTGTGGTAGTGGGGGAAGTATCCAGAGAGATTGTTAAAAAGGGGGCGATCAGTGAGGGAATGGAAGGGAACCACCAGTGTCTAATCAGGTGAGCAGAAGGAGCCAGCGAAACAAGCTGGAAAAAAAAATACCAAATAGTAGAACCAGGAAAGTGTGATGTCCAGCTGACCTCTGGACATCTCCACCTAGAAATCTCAAAAAGCAGCTCACATTCAGCATTTCTAAAAATCACTCAGACGGGGTGCCTGGGTGGCTCAGTCGTTAAGCATCTGCCTTCGGCTCAGGTCATGATCCCAGGGTCCTGGGATCGAGCCCCACATCAGGCTCCCTGCTC